ACATGGCCCATAAAGCCAGAAGTATTTACTCTCTGATTCTTTACAGGAACAGTTTGCTGACCCTTGATTCTAGTTCATCAATTCTCAGTGCGGTCCATGGACCCCTGAGACCCCTTCAGGGGATCTGCGAGGTCCAAGCTATTTTCACACTAATACTCACACATCATTGACCTTTTTCACTGTTGACATTTGCACTGAAAGGACAAAAGCGATGACGGGTAAAACTTTCAGTGCCTTAGCACAGATCAAGACAGTGGCACCAAAACGTACTCGTCGACTCCTTCACCACCACATGTTTGCAGGGAAGAAACCAAACAAACAAAAAGCCAGTTTCACTTAACTCAGGTTGGCCCTGTTGATATTTTGAGCCAAATATTTTGATATTTGGTTTCCGGGGGGCTGTCCTATGCACTGTAGGATGTTTAGCAGCGTCTCCAGCCTCTACCCGGTAGATACGACCAGCTTGTCCCCCCTAACACCCCCAGCAGTGACAACCAAAAATGTCTCCAGACATTTTTTGAAATTGCTTTTATTTAACTTAATAACTGGTAAATATCAATAGACATAACTCAGATGAACAAAAACTCTTTGGTGTCTTGTATAACTTTTTAAGACAGTAAAAAGTTCCTGAGACCAAAAAGTTTGAGACCTGCTGATCTATTTTGTATTTACAGAGTATTTATGATATTTACACCACTAAATCAAAATAAAGTGAAAAGGATCCTATAACTGATGATGAACAAGAGACAGGAAAAAGGAGTGGGAAAATATGTGCAAGGGTGGGTTTGGGATTTGGGGCGGGAGGGATGGAAGTATAGCCAGAGAAGACACAGCTTTAGAGACATGGGGGTCAGTGTGACCTGAGTGAGTTAGTCCTCCATCTGTGCCTCAGTTTCCTTCTTATAAAATGGCAGTGATCACAGTATTATTGGGAGGATTGCATGAATAAATACATAAAAATCGTATAGAATAGGATTGGCACTTAGATTAAGTGTTCTCTGTGGGTCAGCTATTATTATTTTAACATTAAATAATCAATTTATGTCAGAAGGGATGAGGTCAGGCTTGCCATTAAGGCACACAGGTGCTGCTGACCCTGTCCCCACGGTGGGATGACTGAAAGCAGAAAAATGCAGTCACTGGTCCCCAGAGATGAAATATTGTGGAGCCAAGAGAGAAATCAGAATCTCCTAAACCCCTTCTTACCCTAACATCACACTTTCTAATCCAGAATCACATCTGTTACCCCTGTGAGGTACATGGGCATGCTCCAAGTTTTCAGAACAAGCGATGTGAGGTTGGCTAGGCTTCATGTGTTAGTTCCAGAGCAGTTATAACTTTTCTTGTTCCCACACTGCGATTAATTTTTCCTTCAGCTCAATTTGGCTGCTGGAAAATCATCCAGAATTGTGTTGATTTCAGCAAGTACGCACACAGCCATCCTCACCTTTAGGAAGACATGTGCTTTCAAAAAAGGGCTCTTAATGAAACCGTAGGGACACTTCTTAGGTAAGCAAATGAAATGTTTGTGGACTGACTAAAAAAACTGCTAAAGAAGAACCTGAAGCTGAAGCTGAGGAAGTTACTTGAAATTTGAAATCGCATTCTCCATAGTAAAGTGCCACATCTCCCGTGTCCCTTTCCTTATCTCTTCCAACCTCCCTTTGTCAATCAGGACACTTTTTGCTGTAACTGTTTTCTGTGGTTACTGAGACTATTGGGTTTAGATCCTAAAATCTTGCTGAATTCACATGTAATATTCTCTGTGAAATCTGACCTGACTACACCATTTAACATTAACCCCCCTCTGTGGGTCTCCCTAATCTGCCTCATCTTCCTTTGAGGTACATTTCTCCATCCAACACACTCTGTATTTTACACATGTATTTTGTTTATTGTGTCTGCCTCATTATCATGGCAGAGATTATCTTGTTTCTTCAGCGCTATGTTCCTAGCTTCTAAAACAGTGTCTGGTGCAGGGTAGGGACCCTCACCTCCAGCTTTTGCCTTGAAATGAGGAAGGGAAAATGTCCCTGTGATGCTTTGCACACCGTGAATTCACATACAGAGCCCTTGCATGAATGAAAGCATCTATGTTGAAAAAAATATTAGACTCAAGAATACTTAGGTGTCCTTCTGCAACCTGACAATTATATGAGCCAAAGTATAAAATGGGCTATCAAGGAACTTGTTCCAATGGTGTTTATTTTTCATTCCTCTAATATTGTTATCCTTCAATGAGTAAATATCTCTTCAATTAGCTGTCCAGCTCACTGAAGTGCTAGCCTTAGTCCCACATATCTAGACAGAGCACTGTGCCCTAGGGGTTCTTACCAAATAGTTATTAAGGGATTGATGGCAGATGTACCCCCTTCCCCAAGAGATGTGTTCCAGTGCAATTGTACATGGACTCTTTGAAAAACAAGTTAAGTATTAAAGACTAGGGAAGTTCACTACTGCAATCTGTTCTGTAATAAATATTTCTTTTAAAGTACAGAATTCTTTTGCAACTACATACCTTTATTTGTAAAGTCATGCCTTGGCATATAAGGTTTGCTTAAATCAGTGAATCAAGACATACACACCGAGTGTAGACACTACAGGCTCAGTTCTGTGCCTGGCTGATGATTGATGTATGAGAAGTGGCCCCTTTAGGAGACTTGAGTGGTACATGTAACCGTTAGGGAATTATATGTGGAAGGGGGGATTGTGGGTCCCTTAAAGGCAGAGACCACTTCTCATTCACCTTTGTCATCTAGTGTCTAGCACAGACATATTACAGGCATGCAATAAAAGCATGAGTAAACAAATGATCAAATGCAATCAAGTACTAAAAAGATTTTTTAAAAGAGTTGATAATACAGTGAAAATTCAGACAGAAGAGGTCATTGGGAATGGCTTCATGGAGGAGAAAGAAGTTACATCTTGAAAGAAATGAAGGCCCCAAATGCTAGAACAAAGGGGACAGGGGAATTCCTAGCTAGAAGAGTAATTTACACCTGCACACCTATCACTTAAAAGGATTTTCAGCATCAGCCTCCAATATATATTTATTTATAATTATACATATGGTCTGTTTTTTTTGTTTTTTTTTTTTTTTGCAGTACATGGGCCTCTCACTGTTGTGGCCTCTCCCGTTGCGGAGCACAGGCTCCCGACATGCAGGCTCAGCAGCCATGGCTCACGGGCCCAGCTGCTCCGCAGCATGTGGGATCTTCCCGGACCGGGGCACGAACCCGTGTCCCCTGCATCGGCAGGCGGACTCTCAACCACTGCGCCACCAGGGAAGCCCCCATATGGTCTATTATACTACCATTATGAAAGTTTTTAAATACATTAAAAAATAAGATTTTAAAAGAGCAGTTAAAGATAAAATAAGCATATTTTAAATTATTTTTATTTATTAATGGTATATCATTATATTGGGCATAAATCTACATTTCAAATAACGTTCTTGATAATTTTGAATTTTTTGGCTAACTTCCAATCATGTTGGATTAAATCATGTCACCTCATAATATGACTGATGAGAGGATTTATCATAGGTATAAGAGACAAGTCAGCTAAGCCATTTTCTTGTTATTCACTCACGCCTGAGTTATTCATGCTGTTCTTCATCTTCAGTTTTTTGAAGGAACGTATTTAAGTCAACTGTGAGAGTTCACTTGATTAAAGCTGAGTGATAGAATCTACTCATTCGACCAGGCACATAAAATCTGTAACATGCTGACAAATGCTTAAAGTGAACAAATGAGAGAGGATGTCCTGTGGAGAGGAGGTATACCATTATGGTACATGGCATCATCTGACAGGCAGATGGATGGGGGGTGCCGTTGACCAGGCCTCCCCTGTCCACATGGAGTTAGTGAGTCATAGGCATAGAGGCTTGGCCCAAGGAGGAACCAGAGTTGGGAAGGGTGAATGTGGGGGTCAGATCATTAATGACAGTTGAGAGATTTGGACCTGGCAAGATAGGCTCATGAGACTACATATTTTTAAGAAAGGAGTAACAGGAAAAAGGTTTTATTTATTTTGTTAAAATTGTCTTGGAAATCAGGAAAAAAATCAAAACCTCAAAGAAGCCAATTAAGAGGCATTATGAATGAAACATTGTTAGCTTCAGCTAGCTCTCTAAGTAAACTCCCCATAGAATTGTCATCTGCAGGTCATGGGACTCTGACTTTTTTTTTTTTTAAATATAGACCTTAATTCTTCATCGTTCTTCCCCACCACCACCACCCCAGCTTTGTTAAGGTATAATTGACAAGTAAAATTATAAGATATTTAAAGTGTACAACAAATGATTTGATATACATATACATTGTGAAAGGATTCCCCCTATCAAGTTAATTAACCCATCCATTATCCCGTATGTTTTAGCAAATTTCAATTACATGATACAGTGTTATCAACTATGGTCACTATGTTATACATTAGATCCTCAGACCCTATTCATCTTATAACTGAATGTTTACACACTTTACCAACTTTTCCCTATTCCCCCCCGCCCCCCCACCCACTAGTCCTTGGCAACCACTTTTCTAGCCTCTGTTTCTTGGGTTTGACTTTTTTTTTAGATTCTACACATAAGAGATACCATAAAGTAGTTGTCTTTCTCTGTCTGGCTTGTTTCATTTAGCATAATGCCCTCCAGATTCATCCATGTAATCACAAATGGCAGGATTTCCTTCTTTTTTCTGGCTGAGTAACTTTTCATTCTATATATATATGCCACATTGTCTTTATCCATTCGTCTGTCAATGAACACTTAGGTTGCTTCCATGTCTTGGCTGTTGTACATAATGCTTCTATGAACATGGCAGTGCAGATAGCTCTTTGAGATAATGACTTCGTTTCCTTTGGATAGATTCCCAGAAGTAGGATTACTGGATCATAGGGTAGTTCTATTTTCAGAGGAACTGCCGTACTATTTTCCATAGTGGCTGCAGCAGTTTCCATCCCCGCCAACAGTTGTACACGTTCTCCATTGTTCTTGGCAGGAGAGAGCCAGGAGCTGCTTGCCGTTCCTGGTGAGTCAGCTGGCCAGCATGGAGCACTCGTTTCACCATATTCTCCTCTTGGAGATTAAGAGCATCACGGACACCTTCTCCTCCATCCTGGGCCCTCAGAGCAGAGACATCTTCCGCATGAGCAACAGCTTCACTGCCATTGCCAAGCTCCTTACGCGACAACTGGAAACCACCAAGGCCAGAAGTGACAGGTGAGCAGGGATCCCTGGGTACCTCAGGATCTGTTGTGAACCCACTGAGACATAGCACAAAAGGCTATGTTTTCTTTTGTAAGCATAAAAGTTCCCAAAGAAAGCCAAACTCACTATCTCAACATAGAGGAACTTCTGAATAAATTATGACATTTGCCAGAATTTTTTCTAAATCTGTGAAAACCGGAATGTAACCAAAACAATCCTAAAAAAAGTGTAAAAAATACGGTAAGGGAATAAGAATGTAGTGCAAATAATAATGTTTGTAGAACTCGTTTATTTATTTAACAAGCATTTAACAGTTGCTTACTCTATACCAGGAACCCTGCCAAAAGCTAGACATATTGAGAGATAAAACATGTTCCTTTACCCAAAGAGCTCATTGTCTAGCGAGGAGGTAAATATTGAGTGGGTAATTAGAGAATAGTGGGAAGATTATGCTGATTATGATGCCGTCAAGGAGTTTGGGGAACACAGAGATGGGGATACCTACTTATTCATGGAATGGAGAGGAATGGGAAGCTGAGATCAGGGAATGCTTCCCAAAAGAGGTGATATTTTGAACCAAGTCTTGAAAGATGACCAGATTGTACCAGGCTGGCTTTGGGGCAGCATGTGAAAGAGCACAGCACTTTCTGGAAAACAGAAGTCATTTTGTCTGGCTAGGTGTGTGTAATAAGGAGAGCGACATTAGGTAACACTGATGAAGTGGTAGGCAGGGACCAGATGATGCAGGACATGACAGACCTTCTTAAGGAGTTTGAATTTTATCCTGGAGGCTGTGAGGACTCATGGTGGGTTTTTACATGTTAGGAGATGATCAGAATCCATGTTTCAGGAAGCTCACTCTGGCCCCAGTGCAGAGAACATCTCAGGCAGAGGCAGACTGGAGTCAGGTCAAATGAAGGAAGGACAGAAAAGTGTCCACAGATACTAGCAATTAGAAAATTATTGATGATTGTAGTGAGTGAGCTGCCAGTGGTATGGCTGGACATAAAACAGGATGCCTGGGGTTGAAGGGAGAGGATAGCTACAATAAACAAATCTGGTCCTTTCAAGGAGTTTGTGGGAAAAAATAAAGACCATGCAAGATTGAGGGAGGGGTTTTTTTTATGTTTTGCTACATTTTGAATAAGGAGGCACTTGGAAAGTTTTATGACCTTAGAAGTTAAAAAGTACTTTCAAATTCATCATCTCATTTGATTCTCATGATCATCCTAAGGGGTAAGAAGGGCAATTATCATCATTCCTATTTTATAGAAGAAGAAACAAAGGCTCAGAGACTGATTAAATCTCTTCCCAAGGTTACACAGTAACTAAGTGATAAAAGATGGACTCAAATTTCAGATCCTATGCACTGGAAGGTATTCATTTATGGAGAAGGGGCAGGGCACATTTGAGACTAGCATCAGATTTTGTGAGTTTTGGGGCTAACAAATGATGCATATCATTTTCAGTCTGAAACAGCATTCCAAAAACACGAGAAGCCATCCTTACAAAATAGTGAACATTTAGTCACAAGGGTCCACTTTATGTCCAGCATGGCACAGAGCCTGGAGGTCCCAAGAGATATAAGACAAAACATAAGACATAAAACACCGTTCCTCAAAGGTTTCACAGTCAGTGCATGTGATGGGGTTAATGGAAGTGCGTATAGCAGGCATGAGAGACATACAGCCAGGGAAACGAAGAGTGTTTCACAAAGAAGGTGAAATTTAAGTTCATTCCATGTTTATTGAGTAGCTTCCATGTGCCAGGCATCTGCGTAGGTACCAGATTAAGTTGCACAGGATGAATGAAAGTTCCCCAGATAAGCGTTGAAAGGATACTCCAAATAGAAAGGACACTCCTCACATGCAAAGATAAAAGAGCTTAAGAGTGTGTGACCCAGACTAATGAAAAGCAATTCGTTCATCGTGGCTGGAGTGAATACATCAGTGGAGGGTGGGAGAGTAAACTGAAAAGTTAGGTCAAAGGCAGATTCTCAGAGAAGCAAGGAGTTTGTCCTGTAAGCAACATGGCAGCTTGGAAAGATTTTAATCCAGGGAATGAACGCTGCTCCTAGCACAGTAATTAGCAGATAGTGGGCACTCAATAAATATTTCTTCACTAAAGGACTAGGTGGATGAGGAAGTGGCTGACGTGCTGGAGCCCTGAACGGATCTGGCTGGAGCTGCAGGCTGGCAAGAGAGAGAGTGGCCAGGATGCTATTTCTGGGGGCTTAGCAGTAGGCTCCCTCCATGGTGTGCGAGGCCTGGGCTAAATCAGAGGTGGGGAACCTAAGAAGTCAGGACAGATCTTTATAGGGAGAGAGCTTGGAATTAGGAAGAATCGATTATTGGTGAGAGGTGGGGTGAGGAGAAGGGAAGGAGAGTGAATGAAAACCCAAAGATATCTAGCTTGAGTGACCACATACATATGGAAGAGGATGCTGAAAACCGAGAAAAGACGTAGCAGGAGGGGAGCCCATCTGGAGGACCTCTTGGCCCACTCCACACAGAGAATATTTTATGCCCAAGATGGTCATCAAAGTCAACAATAGCTATTCATCTGAGGAAGCCAGATAGCAAGTGCCCTTTTCTCTCAACACCATAGTTTTGATTGAGCATATAAAAATCTGTTGCTGCCTGGTTCAATGTCTAGTATAGATGCCTATAATACCAGGGTTTCTAATTTTGGTGCTCTTGACATTTGGGCTAGATAATTCCTGGTTGTGGAGCTGTTCTGTGCATTCTACAGTACTTATGAGCTTCCCCAGCCTCTGCCCACCAGATGCTAGTAGCAACCCTCCCCCTCAGCTGTGACAACCAAAAATGTCTCCAGATGCTGCTAAGTGTCCCCTTAGAGACAAAAATCACCCCCAGTTGAGAACCACTGCTATTTACGTACTCCATTTAAAAACAGCATTTACACAGACCCCATGACCTGCCTAGCAGCAGCCTACACATGGCAGCATCCAAAAAATCCAAAGCCAGCATCATGAAGGGATGATTTGTCATCTGTGTGCAAGCACAAAGTCACTGTTGGCCAATTTTCATGATGTGGGGAACTTCAGTTTAGAGCTTCTACAGCTGGTGTTCGGGGGAGCCACCTTACATTCTGTGCTCAGCTAGCCTGCTCATTTCTTCTTCCAGTGGTGACCGGTGTGTGCATCAGACGTGAAAGCTCGGGCACGTATTCTGGCCAGCAGTCTATCCATTCTTTCTTGCCTCTACACAGGCAAAGTTTCAAGAGGCCAGTTGACTCTCCATGAGATTATATGTGTGAAAAAGGGTTTGTATAAAGGAGAAACATGTTATACAAGGGTGTCACATTAGGCATTCTGACAGGAAAAATGATTCTTAATAAGCAGGCCCAATCTAATTAGCAATAAACAACTTCCACATGAAAAGAAGAATTTAGGAGATATATAGACAGGAGAAAAAAATGAGGTCTCACTGTCAGAATATGAGTCTGCATTAGGAAAATGCATTTCTCCTCCGTTTATTATTTTTCTGAGGGGAAAAAAAAAAAGAAAAAATTAAATGTGAAGAGATGAAAGGTCACCACTCCCTTCACATACACCAGCACCACCACCATTGCCACCACCTCAGCCTCTCTCAATTCAAAATACTTCACCCGTTTCAACCCTCTCTGTCAGTCTCCTTCTAATCGAATGTAAGTATTCGGTGGGAATCTCAAAAAGGCTGGTGTGGACAGCCAGGCTTTTGTATTAGCTGCTCATCCTCTCTAGGATGGTTGCTAGGCTTCTCTCCCCACATCTTTTCTCTGAATAGCCTTCATTGTGACCATTTAGCTTCAGTAATTTTAATCCGTGCCCCACAAAGCAGAAAGGTCCACACTTTTGTCTAAAGCATCCAGCAAAGTCTGATCCTTACAATTGAAGGGGAAATGAATAAGGGAAGAGAGCTCAAAAGAAAATTAAAGATGGATTAAATTCAAAACAGATGTTGTCTAATTTACAAATCTGACACATAGCCCAGCAGGCCAGATTTTAGACTTCAGGCCCAAATTACAAGACTATCACAAGGAAAACAATTAGCATCCTAGAGAGAATGAAAAATGGAGGAGACGGGAGCCTCCTTTGCACTAAATGACTGAATTAATCAGGTGATTTTTTATTTGAGGCACCAGGTAAGCACACTTGCACTTTTCTTGTACCTGTATTTCAGGATGAATGTTTTTATCTAAATAATAAACCACCGGAGGCTGACTAACAGGACAGCCATGCAAAACATTTAGATTCTGAAATTAATTCTGGAGACGCAAAAGAAAGATAACAGCAATTGTGGATTAAAAAAGAGAGGGTGGTGCTTGCTTTGGCAGCACATATGCTAAAATTGGAACGATACAGAGAAGGTTAGTATGGTCCCTACTCAAGGATGACGTGCAAATTCGTGAAGCGTTCCCTATTTTTCTTATGGTTACCAAGGGGGAAGGGGTGGGAGGGAAAAACTGGGAGATTGGGATTGACATATACGCACTACTATATGTAAAATAGATAACTGATAAGAACCTGCTGTATAGCACAGGGAACTCTAGTCAGTACTCTGTAATGACCTATATGGGAAAAGAATCTAAAAAAGAGTGGATATATGTATGTGTATAACTGATTCACTTTGCTGTACAGCAGAAACTAACACAACATTGTAAATCAACTGTACTCCAATAAAAATTAATTCAAACATTTTTAAAAATAAAAAAGAGAGGGTGTCAAGATAGGAGAAAAGCTCTATACCTTTCACAACTGTATGAACCCTAAGTAGCCTGCTGGGTGGCCACTAACCATTGAACCATTTGCTTGCTGGGACCCATGGGAAGCTGAGGAAAGAGAGGGTGGCTCCTGGCAGCTGTGTGCTGGCTGAGCAGTCAGTGATCCTTGGACTAGAAGACACCTTTGCCAATGCTTGTGGTGCCAGGGACCACAGAATTGGGGACAGTTTGTCACTGGTGGTCTTAGTAGGAGGTTAGGCTTGGCCGCAACTAGGGATGGAAGGTTT